TAATTGTCCAAGAAATATTATTGTTAAGACAATACGTTAAGTCTCACAAACAAGAGTTCTAAGATACAGTTGTACAAAATACACATTTGCAGTCCCACACATTACAAGAAAATGTGAAATCATAATTTCACATTCGTTCATGTCAAATAAAACCAGGGAATTGTGAGTTTTGAACAAAAAATTGAAATATACGCCTTATGAATCTTCTTCCATGTCCTTTCCCTAAGAATCTGCATATTATAACACTATGAATATAATACTATGGTTCTTCAAATAAAATAAAGTTGGCATTGTCAAAACTTTGGATGTTGCTGGGAAGTCTATGTACACCTGGAGTTGTTGTCAGAGTAACACAAGAGAAGAGGTATGGAGTTGTTTGTATCTCACTGGAAAGGAGAATAAATGAAGATATACTGCCGGTGGGCTTAAATCGCGGCTGTGAAATTTTAGCGGGGTTTTATTTTTTATGGACCCATTTCATGTTCTTTAAGATGTATTTGTACTTTTCTGAATTTATATGCTGTATGGCCTATGTCTATTTTGATTTTTTATTGGGTTTACGCCACACTATTTATTATCTGTACACTATGGTTATTTCAAGTAACTAATTTGTGCAAGATTGCCATTGCATATTCGAATTGCAAAGTTATAGCCTGCTCTGGCAATGGTATTTATCGATTGCTGCTTGTTTGCAGGACAAATTTGATGAAACTCCGTTCTGATTACAAGGATGCTTTTGTTGAAAAGCATGGGGTAAAGCTAGGTCTTATGTCTGGATTTATTAAGGTACACAAAGGCTGGTGAGGGGTTATAATCGATTCATATTTATGGCATAACTTGTGCTTCTACCTCTAATATCTAAATTTATTATTTTTATATACACCCATTTCAGGCTGCGGTTAGTGCACTACAGAACCAGCCTATAGTTAATGCGGTTATTGACGGTGATGACATCATATATAGAGACTACATAGACATCAGTATAGCTGTTGGCACCCCAAAGGTTAGCCCCAACTATATATTTCTTTGTACTATACGTATAAAAGGAAGATACCATTTCTTTTCCTCATCCACCTCATAGCAGATAAGTTTTCCTAAGTTTTCATATCTAAAGCCATTTTTTTGTCTTCCTCTTGCTCCAGGGCCTCGTTGTCCCAGTTATCCGTGAAGCTGGCAAGATGAATTTTGCTGAGATTGAGAAGACAATTAATGCACTGGCAAAAAAGGCTAATGATGGAACTATATCAATTGATGAGATGGCTGGTGGGTCTTTCACAATATCAAATGGTGGTGTTTATGGAAGTCTTCTGAGTACCCCCATCATCAACCCTCCTCAGGTATGTGCATTTTCAGAGCATTTTGCTTAGAAACACGTTATGGTCATCACACTAGTTTCAAAGTATCACCTGTGGTCCCACATCAGCTTACAGGTCATATTCACTTTTAGGAGTAATTTACACTTTTGGTCTGTGGTTTTCATTTTTTTCATTTGTGGCCCACGACTATGGATGTATTGCCACTGTTGGTCCTTCCGGTTAATTTTCGCCACAACAGTGACCACAAAGAATGAAATATATTCCATCTTTTCTAAAATAAACTTCATTCTTTCCTTTTCCGTCCGTCCCAATATAAACTCATCTTTCCATATTTGGCAAAGAATTTGTGGTTCACAACATTTTTCTTCACATGAGTTTATTATGGGACGGATGGGGTAGAAAAAAATGAAAGTCAGACTAAAAGCCTGGATTACCGGAAAGTGGTTGGACCAGAAGTGGGAAATTTTCCTTGATTGTAAGTTACAGCAAGTCTTGATTCGGTGTGGGTTGACATGTGTAAGTTACTTGATTGTAGTCTGCCATCCTGGGTATGCACTCAATTGTGAACCGTCCAATGGTTGTTGGGGGCAACATTGTTTCTAGACCGATGATGTACATTGCCTTGACGTACGATCATAGGCTGATTGATGGGAGAGAGGCAGTGTTCTTTTTGAGAAGGATAAAAGATGTGGTTGAAGACCCCCGTCGCTTGCTGCTTGATATATGATACTCCGTATCTATGCTTGATTTGGTTTGGTTTTCATACTTTCGCCATGTTCCTGAGTTGACTTCCTCAAGTATTGAGCAAGAAGAATAAATGTACTGATCCCAAAATTTTGTAGGGTTTCCATATTGCTATAAAAAAAATTATCAGCCGCGGATACAACACATACGTACTTTCAAATTGGAGCCCTTTTTTTTTGAAAGCCAATTGCTAGCTGTTTCCATGCGGGGGCTGCATTGTTTGATACTTTGATACGCTTAGGAATGCAAGGTCTAAAGCCCCCCATTCTTCTGGAATGTGTACCCATTGGATCTGTGTTCTTTTATATCCATTCAGTGGTTATTTGTTATTACCCCCATTTCCATTTACTTGTCACAGCAATATACTCAAGCAGTCAATCCAATTTTTAAGTACCACTACTATTTTATGAAATTAATGCAATCTCCTGGAGTAAGCTTTTTCTGTGACAGGAACTGAATTCATTTCACTATTAATAATGTGATATACTACGTACTACATACGTATATTTGAAGTCCTTATGAGAAGTATAATTAATAGGTGTCTTTGTAGAAGTAAATGCAAAACCATTTGCATGTCATTTGGTAAACACTGTCATAAATTAAACAAAAAAACAAAACCATTACAACATCTTATATTTTTCTTTAAATTTTTCTTCATGAGTTTAATAAGATCTTAAATCAAATGTCAGAGAACTAATATTGTATATAACTCTATAACTGCTTTTTTTTTCTAACGAAATAAAAATTAATATGAAATGGTTCCTTAACTACCCCATGAATTATCAAGCTGATACATTAATGTTTTGGACTTGTAGATAAAAATGAGCTTCATATTTCTTAAAATTTGAAAATTAGGTTTTGAACTTCTGTATCAAGACTAACTACAGTCTAGATGTATCCCATTATAACTAGACCAAATATTTCAGATGTATCAATTACTTTAGACTGAGTAAGTCCTAAAAATCTATGTGATAGAATGTATTGCGACATATCTTAAGCCATTCAAATTAATTTTTGAAGATGGCATTCAAGTTTTAGTTGAAATTTGGTACGAGTAAACTAGATTTAATGAATAAGATGATAAAAAACTTTCATCAAAAAATTCCACCGGGAACCGTCCCAAATGGCGATGGCCGGACAAAACCTCCTATTTAAGGACTTATTTGACCTTTTTATGTAAGTTCGAGGACCTATCTGACCCTTTTCCCATATACTACGTAGTTATTAGAACTTTCTATTATTTACATTTTTCATATGTAATATTATTATATGAAACTCTTTTAAATGAGGAGAAAACACATCACATTTTCCCCAAGCAATACAACTGTTAGATTTTACTCAAAATGTAACTTGCTCCTTTCTCAAGACATAAATGAAGTACTTTTAATAATAAGACTAAAGGTGATTATTTGTTTAAATAATTAAATGTGACTATTATATACTCTGAGGGTTCTATTTGTTTTGACAAAGACAAAGAAAATCATTGTTAAATAAAGAAATAATAAAAAAACATTATATTGATAAGGCATAGCCCTGTTTCTGTAAACAGGTTACATGAGAATGTGGGTTTGTCATTCAAAATTCTCCATTTGTCATTTAAATTTAGGTAAATTTCTTAGGACGCTCTTTAGAGTCTTGATATGTAGATTAGTCAAAATTTTCAATTTAGCATACAACTATTAAACCTTTTAACTTGTAGACTTGTAGTACCAACATATGTGTACTCGAGACTTGGGAACTTTTCATTTTTATAGTTAGGTTATACACTTATACTTCACTTATAAATGTTGTTGGAACTGGTGTATACGTAGTACTCTCCCCGTCTCGTTAAGATTGTCCCATTTTACCTTTTCAGGAAGTCTCAATAAGATTATCCTATACCAAATTTGGTAAAGATTGTGTTACTCTAAATTATTCTTCATTCTTACTTTATCAATCACACAAACTCACTTTTCTTAATAATCGTGTCACCTTCTCTCGTCCCAATCTTAGTGGGACGGAGGTATTATTAAACTTGGCTACAACTTGAGTAGATCTATTGTTCAAGAACTCCAGATCACTTGCTTGAAGCCTTGAACTTGATTTTTCGTAGGGTAGTGTAGATTTATGATTTCACAACTTCTAAGTTCTAAGGTCTAATAAAAAAGTACTCTGTTCAGGTTATTAGTTTCCCCGTTGTATAAAAACTAAAAAACGGAGCATATGATTGATTCTCTTGACATGAGAAGTTGCCCCAATGACCAAAAATGGAAAAACAAAAAATGACGACCAGATGACCATAAAAGCAGAGTCAAACCTTAAGTATTTAAACGTAAGCATGAAAGATGTGATGTGCATTATTATAGACATTTACTACTTTTAGTAATGCGCAAGGAATACAAATAATTATCCATCCAAATGCAGATTTTTCCAATTAATATGAGTGAGCTGTTTATAAGCATTCAAACTCGAAGGATGGATAATCACTGTTTTTTATTTCTTTCAGAGCTGATGTCCAGCAATCTCCGATTAACACCAAATTTAGAATTAACTTTATGCCATGCACTAATAAGAAATAACCAGGAACTAAGGAATCCTAAAACAGTAAAACGCAAAAAGGTGGACAAAATATCCGGTAGGATTGCTAAGTGCTAACTGTCCAACTACAGTCCTTCACTCCTTCGTTATGGCTCACTTGTGCCTACCAAAAACAAGCTACAAAATCCGCTAGGACTGTAAGAATCAATTTCAAAGTAGATCTACAACTGGATTTGTCGGAACCCCGAAGTAAGATTCTTACCACAATACCACCGCTCCCTTTAATGTTTCAACCTCTTGGGATTAGAACAAGGCATGTGTCCACCCCGAAGTAAGATTCTTCTTCTACATTATAACTTGATGGCTATTGATAAGTTCCAATATTATCACAAGTGCAAAAAATACACTAAGGAAAACCTAATAGCCAATTTCAATGGAGCAAGGTACTATACAAGGTGCACAACAATCAAGGGTAGAAAATGAGGCCTAACTACAAAGGGTGTGGATTTAGAAGAAGCGTATGAAGAATACTTGCTACTGTAATAATATACAAAAGCACTGGATATAAAGAAGTAGAAGAGCTAACTATGCGATAAAACTGGTACAAATTATCATCATCCCATTAAAGCATTTTGTGAACCCCCACAAGCTCAAGTTTCTGCAAAACGCTTCTCCTGGATGATCTGCCCAAGCTTCGTGAACAGAGATAGTTGGTCCTCGAATGGAAGGTTCATTAATATCTAACAATGAAGAAAATTCATAATCAAAATTCCATCTCCCCTCCCCCCGTTAAACTTTATTAATAAAGACTGCCGTTTAAGGATGTTTCTACTTGGACTGGTTCCAGGCAAGACCAAACTAGATCATATCATACCAGACATGATAGTTATAAAATACAAAGAAGTCAGACATTTACGAGATCAAACCAGGCTAGAAAATTTGAGTCCAATTGGAAACATCCAAACTCGAAAAGACATCATTTTTAAATTTTACATAAAACTATAAAAGATTTCTTTTTAAAAAATGAAAGTACTCTGTAATAGGCATCTGCTTGGTGAGGCTGAATATGGTTCATTTGGCTCAATATCAGTGGCGTATCCACTATGGGGGCAGCGGGGGCAGCTGCCCCCACTCACCCCCAACCCAACCTCTATATATATCTAAAAGTTTATAAGAAATTGCTCAAAATAAGAGTTAAATGTAGAAAAAAATCTAAAATAGGATTACGAACGTTTTCTTTCATATTAAAAGAATGAAAGACTAAAATATTCACTAAATTTTGTTATGTTTAACTTATATTTAGATAATTTTCTCAAACTTTATCTGTAATTACATCTTTACACACGTAATATAAATTAATCTTCTTTTTATTCATACATACTTGTACATATATATCTTAAACTAAATTTAATCAAACAATATTAATAATGGCATTTGCTATTTGTAAAATATGAGACTAAATTGTAGTGCATGTTTGCCCCCACTCGCCAAATTTCCTGGATACGCCACTGCTCAATATACATAATTATGCAAAAAAACTTGTTCATATACTCCCCATGTTCCTATAGTTACTATTCACTGTTCTGAATCCAACTTCAGACTCTTAATCTCTAAATTTTATGCGCCAAATTTTATTATACGTCAGTTCAGGTAAAGTAAATATAATAATCTCAAAAGTGCAACTTATACACTACTTTTTTTATTATAAGGCGCAATTTAGCCAACACAGTGACCCAGTAACATTGAGTTCGAGTTTGGTGAAAAATCAGGATCAAAACACAGATGAAAGACCGCCAAACTGGTTCTACGTTATTGCACGTGGTAACTAACGTATTAACTTTATGAGTTACTTTTGAACAAAAATATTGATCAAAAAGTCCTCACTCATACTACGTAAATTTTACTAGGGCTGGGCACCGGCCGGGTCGGGGCGGGTAATGCTAAATAAAAAGGAACCGCCGGTTCCATTGTACGGTCCGGTCCGGTCCAAGTATTACAATTTTCAAAATAGGAACCGGAAATTAACCGGGTTCTATTCTCATGTCTTGAAATTAGTAAAAACTCACGAAGTTCCAAAAAATCAATAATCAATAATATAAGACATTAGCAAGTTTCAAAATAACAACATAATGGTGCACATATAACACAAGCGAAAAGTCCAATAGTCCATAATTTTTTGTATATAAGTTTCAAACAATTAAAGAAATTCCAAAAATATGCAACATAGCCAAAATACATATTTTCTAACATTTGTATTTAAACATGTTGTCTAACATCACATATTAAAGTGATTGTTTTTTTTATATTAAATTTTCAGTATTAGCCAAAGTTGACACATACATGGTGGGTGGTAAACACAATTTATATATTTTAATAACAATATAAAAAAATATAACAAAATCATCTTTAACAAATAATTAAATTCCATAGAAAGGAATAATTCAATAACAATGAAAAGTAATAAGATATTTATGAAACATTTAATCAATAATTTGAAAACAAAAGGATGTTACTGCAACTCAATTTAAAATCCTACTTCTAGCAAAGGAAACAAAACTATTTCAAAACCGATTATCAAAAAAACTATTAATAAATTACTCCCCCCGTCCCCATAACTTTGTCCCGTTTTACCTTTTTCGTCCGTCTCATTAAGTTTGTCCCATACCATATTAGGTAAGATTTGAGTGGTTAGAATTCATTCATACTTTTTTTACACTTTATCAATTCAATACTAACCACACAATTCCACTTTTTCTTAAAAACAACACCATACCCCTTTGTCCCAAACTTAGGAGGATGGAGGTAGTAATATACAATATATATACTGTCAAAAAAATAAACAATATATATAACGGGCCGGGCCGGGTACCCGTTATTTTTTAATTTTGGAACCGGTCCGGTTCCTTAAAAAAATTACCCGACCCTACCCGGACCGTTTTATGGCAACAAAAAATGGAACCGGCCCATTTTGGACCCGAACCGCCATTACCCGGACCGGACCACGGTTCCAAGACCCGTTTGCCCACCCCCTAAATTTTACTCATGTAGTTATATACCTGATCCAGTATCATCTCAATTGATAAGTTCTGAGGCCCCACAAACGACTGAACATATATCCATGAAAACATAGCCATCACCATCTGTGTAGGAACATGTAAAAATAAACTCAATTCACAAATCTAGCCAGAAAAGCGAAGTTTATTAAAGCCTCAGAAGTAATTTGATTATATATCAAAATGAAAAGACCCCAAATAATAGATGCTCCTGCCATAATTAGTTATGATAGGAACCATAATTGAGAATCAAACAATTATAATGAAAAACTCTAAGCGTCTATTAAATGGAGGTTAATGAGATTAAGATCCTGGATGGCCTAGCATGCTTCAAATGTTTCAAACAACAGTTAAAAGGTGATTCATATTCCACATGATCACATGCTATGCTACTATTTTAGTTCACTAAAATTCCAAATGTATATATCACCATATAGACGAGCCTTCCAATCACGTCCTTTTAAAATCTCTCTATCCAGGCAGACCATAGATAAAGTTTGACAACTTTTTACCTACTAGTCCTCTCAATTGACACCAGCTGAAGCGGCACAGAGCATAGTTTCTCATTTTTTGTGTTCACAGGAATAACAGATGAACACCTTACTTTTCAAGGTATTTTTTTTTTTGCCAAATTGAAAGTGTTCAATGGCCTGAAAAGTATTACTCCCTCCGTCCCATAGAAAGGTTCTCACTTTCCTTTATTGGACGACCCAATTCCATTTTAGGAAACAATTAACAATTTTAAATGACAAATTAATCACTAAATTTTAAGAATAATACACTTATAACATCACAGTTATCAACACTAACCCCATTACCATTTCAAAAAAAAACACTAACCCCATTATATTATATACCTATTAACATTATTTATCAAAAATAAACTTGAACTACCTTATTTAATTATTGTCTAAATAACCGTGCCGTTTTGCCATGGGAACCTCTCAACGGGACGGAGGTAGTATGTAGTATTTTTTAAAAATTGAAGGAAATGACACATAAATGATGAAAGATAGCATTCGCTACCAGGGCTTGAGAAATGAGACCCTCAAATCAAAGCAAGTTTTGACCATACTAATCACTTTTTGACGACTTTAGGGACACTGTTCGTGAAATAGCAATTGCATAGTTTACATGATTTAGTAAAACAAAACATATCATTCCTAATATTGATATTATACTCATGATAGTTTTTTCCTAATATTGCCCCCAATACACCCTTATGGTGAAACCCTTCCTCGGATCCTCGCCAAGGTTAATGTTTTGAACAGACAGAGGGGAGGTAGTATATGCAAACACTAAAACAGAATCACTATGTTTTCTCTTTACCTGGCAATCCATCCTATCTGTCAAACCTCCATGCCCAGGGATACTATTGCCGAAGTCCTACAGTGAATAAAATGAAGTAGCCTCAGACTTGCTTATTTTGCTAAAATCATTTTACTGAAACACCTTTCCTTACAGAAAAGTAAGCCAGTTCATCAAAATAACACTCACCAAACAAGCTCATATAGGCAAAAGGAGAAAATAGTAGTGTATCATGGACATTCAAAATAAGATAAAATAATAAGCATGACAGTGAACCTTGAGTTTGAAGGCCCTTTTAAATCCACTTGCAAATAAGCCTCCAAAAGGAGCAAGTATTGATGCAAATAGGCCAAAAACTAATGCATGCCACTGTACTGGCATTGCCAAAATCTGTCTTGGAAGAAACTGCAAAAAAATGATAAAGGATGCGAGGGTGAAATGTTCTTGTTTTTCTCAATACAAGTCGAACTACATGCATTCAGCATTCAGAGGAAATGTGTTACCCATTGAGGGATCCACTTGGGTAGAGTGGCATAGTATGTTTTGAACAAAGGGCCAGGATCACAAGTAAGCCAGCCCGTTGATAAATCCTGTGTTATGATTAAAAAATAGACGTGGAGTTCAATTTTTAAGATACAAATGAAGGTAACTTTTGTGACTCAAGAATCTAAATGTGTAAAAGAGATTTATAATCAATGACGAACTCACCTGCCTTGGGCATGTCATCCATTGAAAACGACCGAACAAATTTGCAAGCTACAGAAGCAAGTGAAATGAGACTAATTAAAACCACCCAAACAAACATCATCTAAAGATATCTTATTAACCCAGATGCATGTCACTAATATCCTCGGCTTTTCCACATACACAATCTAATTTAGTAAAAAAGACAAATAAAAAAGAGTTACAGAAATGTGACATCGGCAGTGATGCAAAAAATAAAGTGCTATAGTTGTGTGGTGGGGAAAAACTGCATACCAGAAATGCAGAGATAATAGTAGTTACAGATGCTCCGATAAAACCTTCCCAAGTTTTTTTAGGGGACAACTCGATCAAAGGAGTTCTTCCAAAGAAAAATCCAAATAAGTATGCAGCAATATCGTTGATGATGACTATTGAAACTGGTAGAAGGAACCTGCAAGATAATGCACCAAGTTCAGTATTTATATATATATATGTGTGTGTGTGTGTGTGTGTGTGTGTGTGTGTATATATATATATATAGACAAATCTTCATGTCAGGCCGGCCTGACGGGATGCTCCGTCCGGCCGAGCCCGTTTGGGCACCTTCCCGGTGGAATTTTTTGATGAAATTTTTTGAGCATGTTCCTCATCAAGTCTAGTTTCTTCATACCAAATTTCAGCTCAAAATTCGATCGGGAAGGCATTCAAATCATTTTTTGAAGTTGACTGCAGTTTTATATGTATACTTTGACGCAGTCAACTTCAAAAAATGTTTTGAATGCCTTCCCGATCGAATTTTGAGCTGAAATTTGGTATGGACAAACTAGACTTGATGAGGAACATGCTCAAAAAATTTCATCAAAAAATTCCACCGGGAAGGTGCCCAAACGGGCTCGGCCAGACGGAGCATCCCGTCAGGCCGGCCTGACAAGAAGACCACTCTATATATATATGCTATAGCAGCTATTGATGGCAACTTCTCTGTGAAGATAAATCCCTAAACTAATACCATGAATAGCAATTTAGATCAAAACATTAATTCGGAAAATAAGTTTAGCAAGCCGAGCAATTTAGTTCAGAGATCAGCTTAAAATTTAGTTCAGAGATCACCTTAAAGCTGCAGAAGACAGAAATACTAAAAAGTTCATGAAAGCTAAATAACCTTTGCCAAGTTGGCAATTGTCTTGATGCTAGTGCCTTGACCAATGTCAGAGGTTCAAGGCTTTAAGCCCCAAGGAGCAATTTTGTTCAAGTGTGCTTTAATTTTAATTTCAATCATTTCCAATGGATCCCAAGACTCGCTATTTTTGTGTTGGAGAATATGATGGAATAAAGAAAAATGGCCCACTAAACTGTTTGCGCTTCTTCCTTATGAAGCAACAATTGGTCCACGCAATTTTCGACGCGATTTTCATACGAGTCATCCAGAAACAGTTTCTTTGCGCTTTAATACAAGGGTAAGGTTGCGTACATTCAACCCCCTACACCACTGTAGGTGGAAGCCTTGTGGCACTGGGGTAATGATGTTGTTGTTATAGACTTTGGTTTTAATTTCTAAGGGTAGTTAGTCCCTGTTTTTTTGTGAAATTGGATACTTGTATTTGGCATAAGTTCATAAATTTAATTGGAGGAAATCATGGGCTTATTGATTGTAAGTTCGTAACATTATATACTAGCCATTTAAAGTGACAACATGACAACAAAAAATCACTTAAATCCAACAAGAAATGTTCACAGGCAATTAAAATGACAGATTAGGGTTTTTTTAATAATAAATGAAATATATACTAGTAGTTCTTATCAGAGTTACCAGAAGATTCCTTCAAAAACATTGCTTATAATGAATGAGGATTGTGCGAACACCACAATTAGAATCATATGGGTCCAGGCATACTGGCCAAACTGATATTTGTACATCTTCTTCTTTAGAGTAAGAATGAACCATATGAAACCTGTTTCCAGTTTGAAAGAATATGATACTTCAGTTCAAAGCCAACAGAGCATCATAATAATGCAGTTTATTAGTAATAAATATTGGTCACATTATCACAATCAGGATTAGGTTCAAATTTCTCCACTGCACTAATATACTTCTACTTTCATTGTGACTTGTTTTAAATATCTGCTTCAATTAGATTCCCAGGTTAATGTTTGGCTACTTAATCAGAAAGTTAGATAAGAGTTTAAAATAAATAAGAGCAATTTCATAAAAGAGGGTATAAAAACAGATACGGAGTATTATTCTTACATATGGCATGTGTAAAGCAGGATAGTGCTTGTTTAATATTAATCACAAGATGGGTAAAATACTAGCCTGGGATCTGATTAAAACTATACCATTAAACATTCATGGTAAAAGGGAAACTGATAAAACATTGAATGAAATAGAAACATAACTTAAAATCTAAACAGAAAAAAATACTTCAGAATGTTAATGTGTACATTCATTAGAGAAAAGAAGGCATGACATTTTAGATTCCTTAAGCAAATTTAGTATTATATGGTTTAAAGTTCCTAGGAAGCTCTGAAAGAGGAATACATCATAAATTATAAGACTAACCTGCTATATACAAAAAGTAACAGGTGACCATGTGGTACTTGATAATTTTTGCCACAAGCTTATATAGGAATTTGTCCGTAGTAAAAGTATTCACAAGCTTTTGGCTGAGGATGCGGCCATAAACAAAAAGCATAGCTGTGAAGTAAAAGTGCCTGAAAGAACAAGGGAGAGTAAGCATAGTAGCAATAAAAAAATGACAGTCGGCCATAAATCACCAAACAAAAATTAATGAAAGCAGTTAGGTATATTTAACAAAAAATATTCAAGAAATAGAAAAGGTGGGGTACATCAAAGTGCATTTTCCACTCCCAAGAGTTTTTAGCTGTGTTTTTGTACTTGCATATTAACCTTAATATAATTAAAGCAACAAACAGTGCTGGCAATGGCCATCATAATTTATGCCATCAGAATTGGGATCACAGCTCAATCTAATCATTAACTTCAACAGTTCAGCTCATATTTATGATATGGACACATGCTTAAAAGGATTACATACTTGGCCTTCGGATAACAGATTTATACAGAACTTCAGACAATTGTAAATGAAGTAACTACTAATTAGTCCTTCTCTGGTAGTCAGCTTTTCTTCTATTACATCAGTCACAGCTCAAAAAAAGCCAAATAATAAAAGAGCATGACAATCATCATAAGAGTACTTCTTCCATGGTTCCACGTCAATGTCATTTAAGCCAACACATCACTTTCCTGCTTTCTCGACCATCCTACAAATTATTTTCTGGTTCCTAACTTTTTTACCACCTATAGTGAGAAGGAACCTTACAGGAAAAACTAAACAAGTATATGAATATGGAATTTAAGCAAATAAATATCAATCCTAACTTCCTAAGTAAATAAAAATGCAAAAAGATTACAGAAGGATATTATACAATCTACAAAGATGATTGTACAGATTCAGAGTGAGCAGGCAGTCGTACATGCACTCAAAAGTGAAATGTCTACCGCTTACCAGTGCATAAGCAACTACGAACTATATGAAAAATTGAAGATTACAAAAGTGAGGATATTGTACTAAACTAAGACAGACATGATAAGGAACTAACAACTCCCTTGTCTCTAAAATTCATAAATCTCTAAATACAAGGTGATGAAATATTTATACTGATACTTCCTACCATACTGTTGGGACTAAGGCTTGGATGTTGTTGTATACTTCCTAGCATACTTTCACCTTCCTTATCTCATTTTAGGAACACTTCATTTTGTGTTTGTAACATATCAATATATATTTACAAATTCAATTGTATTGGAAGCATCAAGTTAACATCACACTTGCATTAAAAAAATACAAAAGAAACCCAAATGCAATTTGGAGAGAAAACAAACAACAAATTTAAAATATGGAGGAGGTTTTGAGGCACAAACATTTTAAACCAATTAAATAATTCTGTATATAAATACAAATTTGGTATTGTGAGCGTAATTATCTTTACAATGCACAAACAATGATATGCAAGAGATATAAAGTAACCCATGAAGTATTCATTATAGCTTTCCAATAGATTTAAAATAGGGGAAAATAATTTAAATGCCCCAAACTTTAATGGGGTGTGAGATAAGCACCTCAAACTTGCATATGTAATATACATACCCCGAACTTTATATTAATTTTTCTTCCGACCATGATGGTATGTTTTTTTACAAATGCAAATTTATTGGAATAATTAAATAATTTAAAATATCTAAGCTTTGGTAGAATTTAGTTAACAATCTAAAATAACATTAGTGAAGTAAATAATATTACATCCGGTAAAATTTAATTATAATTGCATCCTCATAAGTGTTTTGTGTATTTTTAACTATGTACTTAACACCATAAAATTACATTTGTGAAAAATATATATGATCATGGTGCTAATATAAGTTTTTATATAAAGTTTAGGGTAAATATATAACATGTGCAAGTTTGGGGTACTTATCTCACACCTCTTCAAAGTTTCGGATATTTAAATTATTTTTCGCTTTAAAATATATTGACAATGTATAGTGACAACATATTTGAATAAGCTCAGGATAAAAGCTAGCAGGTGTTACTCACCAATTCAATAACCTGAATCCAGGGAGCCGCCTGCTTTCATGTGTTCTCCTCAGTAGTTTAAACAACTCCTTTACCATTGCGAATTGGATGATTGCAACCACGGCAAAGATATACAGGTGACCCATGTAAATTATAAAGGCAAATCCACCAATCATCAAAACAGATGAATATCCCCGAATCAGCATTGATTTGTACTTGTTCCGATCATTGACAAGCAAATGATCACCATTGGCTTGAACAACATCAGTGGGAACCTTTCATTTCAGGGATAATCGATCAAAATAGAAGTTAAACATCGTCGGGTACAAACCAACTAAAACTGGTGACTTTCTAGTTTCTACATGTAACTATCAAGTGAGCATATATTGTGGGTTATATAGCAGGGAGCCCTTTCAACAAGTTACATGTAAAATGAGACCACAACTCCTAAATACTCATTACTCATTAGTAGACAATGATTCAACAAGAGTAACAAGACCGTCATTTTTGTCTCAATAGTCTATGGCTATGGGATTAATATTGTTTTGCTTCCCCATGAACTAAAGAACAAGAAATATGTGTCTTCATATTTGTAAAGACAATGATAGGATCATAGGAGAGTAGTAAACATAGATGATCACCAAAGTACTTTTCACAATACCATGGAAAATATCATTACCCTTTTCATACATTTTTGGAAAAATGTCTTCAGAAGACGAAACACTAACCCACAGAGGCTCAGAAAAAAAATATTACGTAGTACTACATATTACACTGGAAAATTTGAAGCCTTCTATCTTGTAAAAAACATTTAACTTCCAACTCACATGTGGCACTAGCATTCACTACATCCGTGCCAGTTACTAATTTTCATAATAGAGTAAAAATAAGAATGAACCAACAATTCACCCGTTTACCTCATTTGAGCCTCTACGACGACGTACGCGTCCACCAGGCGCTCCCGGGGAGCTGGTAGTAATTTCTCTCTGCATATCTTCTGCCTCAAATTATCCCTCCGCTGACAAAGAAATTTATGTACACATTAACTTATGGGAGTACATGATACTATGATAGACAAGTAGTTCAACTTTATAAAAAAATAGCGCCGGGCATTAAGGAAGCGAAGCTACCCAACTACACATTTCTATTAGACTATTACCCAGTGAGACAGGGTATATGACTCAGACAGGGCGACTAAACCTGGTGTCGGTGAAGGCCCCATAATTAGATTCAACAGCCATGGGCTGTGGTTTCATGTCCAGCCTGAATGACTAGGTGGTCTACTTTATGAGCCTAGGTACTGGACTAGCTAGCAGCAGTGCAGAAGAAGTGCTCATGCATGCGTGCTCCATAACAATTATATACTCCTCTCAAGCACGGAATAGATTATATATTAATTACAACAGTGATAAGAATAATAACAATAACGGAGATGAAAGTAATAATATCTGCAAGTCTACACATGTTGAAAACGTATATAATTTGTTCACACAGAATATTTTGTATCCAAATCATTTTGAATGAATTCTAGGCGAGAATGATTTTCCTGTGCCCTTTGATAAAAATTTGCAACACATTGTCTTGGAAATTTTTCCATAGATAGGAAACTAAATCATTACAATGAACCATACACTTGCCAAAGGGAATAGAAACCAATTCAGGAATTAAAGCACGCGCACCGACACAAAGTTGAACCCTAACAAAACTAAAGTGAAATAAAGATATAAAACCTACCCCCGGCGGCAGGGTTGCACGAAATACGGAGATGGTTTCCGGCGAGCGGCGGCGTTGAGGCGGACTCCGGGAGCCGCTTTCAGTCTGAGCTCTGACTCTTTTGCGTAATGTGGTTGGCTTTTTGCAGGTTAGCGTGTTCCGGCCTTAAGGCATGTTAATGTTGCTTTTAATTGGGGTTTCAGACCCGCCGGTGGTGTAGATTGGTACGTACTTTAATAATAGCAGTCCGTACGCCCCCTATGCCTCTAAATAAAATAAAAATTGCGTGAATCTCATTTTTAGGGGCCGAACTTAGGAACCGAGAATCCAAGAACAGTTGGAATACAACCATTAAAATTCAGCTTCTGCTTCTTTCTTAAATCAGAATCAGAATCAGAATCAGAATCAGAAGCTGGTCTCCCCCAACTTCTAAAATAACTGATTCTATGAGTAAGTTAGAGCATCAGAATCATTTTTGCATTTTCACCCAAACACTCCAACTTCTGCTTCTGCTTTTTAAGGAGCAGAAGCAGTTTTAAGAATCGGATCCAAACACCCCCTAAATTGTTTATGATCAGATTCTTATTTTTTGTCAGGGGTAATTTGAGTTTGCATCCCATATTATTGTCTAAATTGGACTTTGTCTCCCGTTTTTTAAAATCTTTTTTTGCACCTCAACCTCATATGAAAAGATAAAAAAGCTCTCAATCAAGAATATGTTGAAGGTCAACAAATTTTTTAATGGAGGTGCATTTTTGTCTTTTCATAAGGGATTGAGGTACAAAAACAAAGATTTTTTAAAACAGGATATAAAGTTCAATTTAGACAATAATATGGAGGGTGCACACTCAAGTTACCCTTTTTGATACTATGGTTCCCGATTCTTACAAAAAATACATTTAAAGAATCGAACTGTTTATAGTTGGTTCGGTTTTGTAACGTTTTGTAAAGCATCTGATGGAAGGGGAGGATATACGATAAATTATGGTGGAAGTACTAAAACTTATGGCAACTTAATTATTTTAACTTTTTTGTATTGTTTAAGGCTATGTTTGGCAGGAGCTTTCAGCTGATAATGGGCTGGAATTTTTAAAATCCAGCCAATAAATATAAATGTAATACTGTTTGGATAGAGGACTGAATTGAGCTGAAGTTGAAAAACATAACTTATTCAAATTATGTGAAGCGTTTGTGGTCAGACGATGTATTCCTGAGTTCCCTACCCAAATTATCCCATAGTCGACAACGCTTTTTTTTCGCCGGATGAATTTAAATAGGCTACGGTGCTCCTCTTTCTCTAATAACTGCCGACTATAAAAATTGCCAATAATGAATCAAACAACAAGATATGAGAAACCTCTCAAATTGCCGTCCTCTGGTCTATCCTTGGTGCTTCAAAAATTTCTGTATTTTTTGTTATAATTGATCCTTTCCTTCCCAATCAGACAGTGTGGAGTTGGTCGCTGATTACCCTGCTTTTCATCTGCTATTCATCTGTTAGCTTTGTTTTGCATTGATGCTTGAATTTTGATATGAATTCATCTCAAACAATACGAAAAAGGAAGCTCTCGTACTTGATTCGTTGTAAAAAATATACATTTTTTAAAATATAAATACTATAATCGTAATAATTGTTAAAATATACGGATTATCAATTTCTTAAATAATTTGTTGCATTGATAATTATATGCCCTTTCCGATAATTTCATATTATTAGGGCACTTTTTCAGCGCTTTTTGTCAAACTGGCATACTTCATATAGCTATCAGTTCAGATTCAGCATATCAAAGTCAGCTCCAGGCAATAGTCTATGATTCAAACAATAGCTAAATCCAACATTGTAGACTTGTAGTTCAGTCTAACCTATGTGTCTAGATCCAACCTAATCAGAACCGACGGGCTAATGCTTTTTATATGAAAAATGATTCCATGCATTAAACCCACTTCCTCCGTCCCCTAACTTTGTCCCGTTTTACCTTTTTTGTCCGTCTCATTCAGTTTGACCCAGACTATATTCATTCTTACTTTATTTACACTTTATCAATTCAATATTAACCACACAATTCCACTTTTTCTTAAAATTTGTGCACACTTCTTTGTCCCAAACATAATGGGACGGAGGTAGTATATTTTAGAAGAAATGTTTCAAATGGGACTAAAATATAAATAAAATGCACATAAACTACTCATGTTTTTATTTATTTACATAATAGCATTGATATAATCTTATCAAAAATACAAAACTTTCTCCATCAAAAGTGAATAAATCTTATTTTATGATAAAAACGAAGCGAGGACTAATTAGCTTTTTCCTTTGATTCTATTTCCTTCTCCTAGCTTTATGCCAGCACATGTCTTGAGCACTCAAGCGTCCATATTCTTTTCTTATGGTTTAATCATCTTTAAACCATTTTGCTCAATTTAGCTCAATTTATCAAGAACTCTGTGATGAAAAATTGTGCGTTAATAACATAAAAATAACTGCAATTCAAGTTAAAAATTTGCTAGTATGGTTTGATATGTTTAAGTCTACTCTGATCTGGTTTGGTCTTAATTGGTTTGGTAAATGTATGGTCCATCTCCATGTATTTTATAATTACAACAGTCTGATCTGGTCAGAACTGGTCTGATTTGTCTGGTTTGAGATTGAAAACCGTCAAAGTAAAAACATTCTTAGTTAGTTTATCCTTAGTTTATCCAACCCAAGGTGTTTAGTCCACGCAAATTATGTACATAGTAGCAATTTATACATACATACCTAACTATACGAAAAGAATAAGCGACCACGTAGTTAGTCATGGACCTGGGCCGGGCCGGTTCCGGCCGGGCTTTTTTTGGGAAGGAAGAACCGGAACTGGCCCGGGTAGCCCTCGATTCCGGTCTGGGCCGGTTCATGTTATTATTTTTTTATTTTTTTTTGCTTTTCTAATTAACCCCCGACCCTCCCCCCCACACCCAACCCCCCCCCCCCCCCCCCAAAAAAAAAATACCCAAACCAACCCGGGAGAAACAAAAAAAAAATTGAAAAAAACCAAAAAAAAAAAAAGAAATAGGTCGGGCTGGTTCCACTTTTAGGAGGCCCGAGCCCGGACCGTTTAATTCCGGGTTCGGATGGCCTGGACCGGTCCTATAACCGGGTACCGGCCCAGCCCGGCCCAAACCCAAACAGTATCTGTTCCAGACTGGTTCCGGGCCGGGCGGCCCGACCCGAGTCCACGACTACACGTAGTATGTTTGCCCTCTAATAAATATGTAACGTACAAATGTAAATGTTGATATAAAATAGGGGTGACAACTGACCATGATTGATCATACTCGATAGCAACACCTTAAATCCGAGATTTCAAATACCCACTTGCATCATAATAATTCATAATGTTATTATTAATCTCTTATAGTGTTTTTAATACAACCGAAATAATGTCTCTTATAGCGTTATATGTAGACATCTTATCACAATTGTGCCCCCTAACATGCATATTATCTTTTCGTCCTAATTTACCTGGCTTATTTTCCTTTTTACGCTATCCAAAAAAAGTTTCAATTTCTTTTTTTAAAGTGAAATAGGTAATCTATAACATTTTATTTTATTTTACTCAAATCACAATCACAATTTTTACTTTTCAATCACTTTTTTAATAATTTTATCAAACTAAAACAAAATTCAAAGTTAAAATGAACACACACCTATCGATCATTACGGGCAACTAGTCTAGCACTCTAGCATGGTCCATTGCAAAGAAAAAGCAGTCTCTTGGACCCTCTCATTGACCTACCAGTTGTACACTTTACATTTTCTTAAAGGTACAGAATAAAGGATGTCCGGGATCAATTCGAATTCATCTTGTCTTTGGAAAAAATTCCAAGCTTTTTCAGGCTTATAGTAATTAATTAATTCATTGATTTTGTCCGACTCAAAATGTCATTATAGGGGTGAACACAATCCGTTTCCTCAAACTTGAGACCAGAACTGACCCGAAATACTGAAATAGTACAGGTAACAGTCCGGTTCCCCAAACTTGAGACCAGAACCAACCCAAAATACTAAAATAGTACGGTACTCGGTTCCGGTCCAGTCTGCCCAGCCAGTCTAGGGCTGGTTCGGCCCCAATTTCCCACCCTAGAAATTTAAAAAATGCCTAGTCTGGTCCCCAAATCCCTACCCAAGACCGCCCCCCACCCAATCAAGTACCTAGTCCAAGCCTAGGGGTGGACTCGGGCCGGTTCGGGCCTGGGCCCAGCCGGGCCTCGGTTCAGGAAAAGGGGGCCCTGAACCGGCCCGGGTAACCCCAGAGTCCGGGTCGAGCCTTGGTTCAATTTTTTTTTACCTTTTCCTAATTAACCCCTAACCCCCCTCACCCCCAAACCATCTCAAATGACCCAAAATACCCAGCCCAACCCAAAAACTAAAAAAGAAAAAAGAAAAAAAAAAAGAAAAAATAAATAAAATGGCCCGGACCGAGCCCGAACCGGCCGGGCTGCTTCACGTTTTGAGGGGCCCAAGCCCGGACCGGAACCCCAGCGGGTCGGGCCCACCCGAACCGATCACTGACCGGGCCACCAGGCCGGGCCAGGGCAGAACAGTGCCGGTTCGGGCCGGTTCCGGGTCGGGCCACCCGGCCCAAGTCCACCCCTATCCAAGCCTGGTACAAGAAAACCCAGTTCAGTCCCACAAAGTGGTAGACCTGGCTCAGGTCCGACACCGCCGTCCTGGTCCATCCTTATGGCTTATGCCATTATGGGCCTTGTGGCATGGCTGAATTGAATTAAAAACATTTCCCCAAGCTAGTATCATGCGACTACATAAAGGCATAAAGCTGCTTTTGTTAGTGCCAAACGTTTTTTAAAAGCATATGAACTGGGTAATTTTTTTTTAATACGGAGTATATTTTAGAAAATATAACATTTGTAACAAATGTATCAATAATACATTGGTTGGTCCAGAAGGAATGGGAACAACTTGAGCTCAAGCCCATATATTTCTTGTCTGTTCAAGAATCTTTCTGTTTTTTCTTACTCCGTAGTCGGTAATAAAGATATAATGTCAGGGAAACGAAACTACGTATGGGGGTAACTACAAACGCGACAGGCTTTTTGACAACTTTGAACCTAAGAAAATGGGCGATTTATAGAAAGAATAACTGCCGACATCTGGAGAGAAATACTTCATAATCCATAAAACTCAATATTATGATATTTAAAAAGCAAACTTGAGTAAAACCATTTCATGCGCAAAAAAATAGACCAGAACTCAATTTCACATAATTCAACAAAACAGATACCTCTGCAACATGTTTAGAGACGAAAGTTTATAGTGCATACTTA